TTGCCTTAAACTAATTATAGTTTAAGCGTCTGAGAATGAAATTATGATTTGGCCTTAGACTAAGAATAGCTAAGAGCATTATTATGACCTGGCCTTAGACTAAGAATAGCTAAGAGCGTTGTTATGATCTGGCCTTAGATTAAGAATAATTTAAGAGCACTATTGAAATAGTATCTGAATTGAATAAAATGTGTTGATATGAACTGAATAATATCAAAACTCTGAATGTCTGAAACGAACATTGTGTGCATGATATCAAAAGATTTGATTATGAATTTAGATTCAGTTTATATGGATGTTCAACGCATTAGATATGCTTACTCAGCTTTACCGCTGAGCGTGTAGTGTGTTTGTTTTATTTGCTACACGCAGGTAAACAGAAAGATTAATGTGATCCTGACGGCAGATGGGGCGAGATTGTCGGGATGGATGTGACAAGTTTGAAATGATTTATGATATGTCAATATTAATTTCGCTTCCGCAATATTGTTAAATACTCCGTATTGTATATGTTATGAAAAATATTATTGAGATTAATAAAGTGTGTTTGAAAAGTTTTAAATTTTACGATTACCAAGTTAAATACTTTAGTCCGAAAGGGGCTGCAGACCTGGACGGATTAGGGTGTTACACGCGGGCTCCAAATCCAAATCCGATTGCACCATTGGATTCGATCCGTCGAATCCTACACAACCGTATAAACCTTATTGTCAAACGAAGAATATTTTATAATTTCCACCGAGTCCGTCTCAGTAATTAATTAATTAATTGTTTTTAATTAATTAATTCTGATAGGCTGGGTTTCGGGGCGTTACATTTCTCCCCCCCTTAAAAGAATTTTGTCCTCGAAATTACTTGAGTCATTGGTCACTGAAGAGTTGAGGATACTGAGCTTTGATGGATTCCTTGGTCTTCCAGGTTAGTTGCTTCTTCCACTGCGTGGTTTCGCCAAATCACCTTGACCAAGGGAACTGTCTTGTTCCTCCTTTCCTTTACTTCACGCGCTAGAATTTGTACGGGTTCTTCTTCATAAGTGAGGATCTCATCGAGGGTGACTGCTCCCTCGCGTAGAACATGTGACGGGTCCAATCGATATCTTCTTAGAATAGACAAATGGAATACGTCGTGGATCTTCTTTAGTTCTGGGTGTAACTCCTATCGGTAAGCCACTGGTCCTACTCGTTCAATGACCCGGTACGGTCCATTGAACCTAGGACTTAACTTTCCTTTCTTGCCAAACCTTAGCACCTTCCTCCACGGGGAAACTTTGAGAAATACCCAATCATCAACATTATACTCAATTTCTTCATTTTCTTTTCTATGCTTCTTTCTTTTATTTTAATTTTGCTTATAATAAAAGAAATGGTATAAAATTAATGAATAGAAAATGAGAAATGAGCTTTAGTAAAAAAAGAAAATATTTTATTGATTTTTGTTTCAT